CTATTATGAAATTTGTGTTACTAAAATTTCCTATTTGTTCGCAATCTGTTAGAAACACACTTTAAGCTGCTCAAAGGTATTTCACTTCAAAATTTCCGTGGCGAACATATCAGTGAACGCCTTAGGCTACTAAAACATGCAAATGGTCGTTTCTTCGCCTCCTCCTCAAATTTTTCATGTTAATGAAAGCAAGAAATCAAAGACCCTCTTAAGATATTGAAAAATGTCGAGGACCTGAGTGTTTTTCATATAGAACTCAGAAGTACTTGCAATTGGCGGTCAAATACTGGTTTTGCAAACCAAACCGCAAGCGATTTACGCGGGCTCCCGCAGCTCACAGAATCTCATCCAGAAAGACTTCACTTGAGTTAGTTAGATCCAATCGAGCAGTCTGATACGCAGCAACAATGCAAATTGATAGATAGACCAACCATATATATTATATATATATAATATATATATATATCGTGACCAAAATCATGAGTGACAAGCATACGGTATGGTGGAAGGATCTGTCTAAAGAGAGAGTGCAAATAATTCGTTTTTCCCACAAACTTCAACTTTGCTGGTAATATATTCGTGAGATAAACGTAACTTTGTCCTAGATGATTGCAGAGAAGTTGGCAAAGGATTACAAAGGTCAAAGGTTCCTTTATTAAGATGGAAATTCGTTTCAGTTTGCATATGCTCAATATGACCGGCACATCGGTGTGCAGTCGGCAGCTTAAAAGTTACTCCATAAAGCCCAAGAGGGCACGTCCATGCATGGTCCCAAGCCAAAGGAGGGAATTGCAAAGAAAACAAATAAAGAGATAGCCTGTTGATTTCGTTGAGATTCTGATAGTTTACGTGTTCTTTTCTTTTCAGTGGTTACATAGAGGCCAGACTGATGTCATTTACAAACGAGTCCATAATTCACACTGCAAAATTCATTTTGAGTTTTGTCTTTCGAACAGCCAGAATACGCATAAAAAAAAAATGAAGTAGGTGGATAGCTCTACTCCCTCGACAGTAACAAGGTAGAGTATTATATCTAACTTTTTTTATTAATTTGCAGGTTGGTTTCTGTGAAAGCTGAAGGAGGAGGAGAAAGGCGAGAAACAAAGGGGACCAGACATAGAACCAGTGGGGATTGCAGGCGTTGGTATCGAGAAAGATAAGAATGGCTATTGGCAACAAAAAAAAAAAAAAAAGGCATCTCGCGCCATCACGATGAACACGTTGGCCAAGCGGATGAGTAATCCGCGCTGGCCGCTGGCTGTCTCCTACGATTACGAGGGCCTTCCTTCTTTTGCAATTCCGCTGGCTGTCTCCTAGATGGGCCTCATTGTTTTTTTTTTAAGACACGAATAAATGGTGCAGAACAAAATGAAATGATGAACAATATGTGATATATTTCGATTGCATGTAAACACATTTTCTAACTCACATAATCATTTTTTTTTACATACATTATATCAAAAAGTATTTAATAATTATTTTTAAATAATACTCTATTCAAGCATACATTAGTGTGTTTGATAGAGATTATTTTGAAATAATTATTATAACATTTGTGATGTGATGTATGTGAGTTTAAAAAAGTAATTGAAAGTGTAAAATGTAGATTAAAAATGTATTTATGATGCAAGAATGTATTAGTTGAAAAAAAATTAGTATCCAAACACACTTGTAATTTGATGATATTAGTTATATATTTGAATTGGTTTTGATGAAGAAATTTATCTTGAGTTTACTTTAATATTTATTTGAAAATCATATTTTAAGTGGCATATACTTATATGAAAACACAAATTAAATAATTGCCTATCTTTAATTTGAAAATTTTCATATTTGTATCTATCATTTAAATGTTGTTTTTAGTTGCTTTTTATACATGAACTCATTTATTTGTCTGTAACGTACTGCTTCCCAATAATATCTATATAATTGCTGAAAAATGAGAAAGGAAAAGAAAGAGCAGAAGAGAGAGCGAAGGAGATTAGAGAGATCTTCGGTAGGTTAGTTTCAATTTCATTTATATTAATGTTTTGCCAAGGGCCATCTACATGTAAAATAGAAGAACGTGTAGCTTTTTATTCCTCGTGTACAGTTGGGTTTTATGAATAATATGTGCTTCCAATTTGTAATGTGCCTTAAGCATGTTAAAGAAATTAGCGGTAACCAAACAGAGAAAAAGTACAAAAACAGAGTATTGAAAAAACTCATAAGTAGATCCACACACACACACACACACACATATATATATGGGCTAACCCCTTGTCCGTCTGGTATCAGAGCCAGAGAGGAAGCGGGGTTAAGCTGATTATACTGCCTAATCTAATCTTTTAACTAGTGGTAGTCCGACAGCGATCCACTTCCTAACTCTCATTGTTTATGCTCATATATACTTATTATTTTTTTGATTTAAAGGGCCAACCTCGTCTCTCTTGGGTATATATACATATATGTATGTATATGTATATGTATATATATATATATAAAGGATCTTTCTTTAGGACGAGTTTATTGTAATTTCATAAATACATAATTAATACTTGTTCTCAGTTAAGTATTTTAATTAATTATAGATTCTAATTTTGAATATTATTTTTTCTAGCGCACTCGTTTGCTTTTTTATGTAGATTATAAATTTTTAATAACCCAAAAAGTTAAAATTTATAATATACCAAAAAGTAGTTTGTATTTTTTATTTTTATGATCTGACTATACTCTGTATTCACTTTCTTAGATTTTTACAAAATCTAAAGCAACCAAGAACAACGCCCATAGTTGTACTTAGGGTTCCATTCTTCAATTATAGAATGGGCTAAGTTGATAGCGTTTGCTCACATTCGCTGGCTTCTTGCTGAAAGAATCGAAGCCCAAGATCCTGAGCAAGTATTTTTCGAACATAGGTTTTAGCCTACAACAGGCCATTTTGCCAATTGTTCTCGTCCTCAATCCCAACTTAACAGTAGGAAAATTTAGCCCGTGGTCACGATAGAGGAATCGCAAGCCTTTCTCCTTTTCCTACATTCCTCGCAAGGCTATTACTTCCATTCCCCAACTATAAAGAGCACAGAAAAGTAAACCATGATCCTGAGAAAAAGTACTAATGTTTAATCTTTCAATTCTAACAAGATTTTGACAAAAAAAAAAAAGAAAATCTAACACAAGCAAAAACAAAATGTCTTTTTTTTTTTCGGATGTCATTTCGAATAATTTGTGAAAAAACTGCACCATATTTTGTTAACTATTGAAAAAAGAGGAATTGGCTGGATGACGAGTAGTACAGTTATCCATGCATGGGATCTAAATTACACCCTAAACTGCATGCCAAGGCCAAACTCGCATAAACAATCCGAAGCGTACATTAACAATTATTTATGTGTAAATTAGCAGAAACTCTAGCAACACTTGAGGTTTCAGGCTATCTGTAGGGATGGAGGAGGGGCTGGAACGGTTGCAAGAGACAATCGTTTCAGAAGGTTCACGAGCCATGGTTAGGTCAAAAAATTTGTATTTTATTGTTATACTTTGTATAAATAATATTACACCGTATGCAAATGGTGTTACACCTTTCGAAACGATTGCTCTCACAACCGTTCCATCCCCGAATTCCTGTAGGGATCGGGGCCTTCTAGGTGATACAGCACCGTCTATTGCATCATAGATTTGTTTCGTTGTGAATTGCCTAAGTCAAACACTGCCATTATGCTGTACACCTAAATGTCACCTGCCTAAAACATTAACGGCATGGAGCAGGCCACTTTGTACTCGGAAGTCAAAGTAAAAAGCCTGATCTTAGTTCCCCTTTTATAGAACAAGTTTATCAGGCAACTTTAGCGTGGTGTTTGTTTATTAAATCTCATCATTACCCATTGGAGAGATAAAACAAATGTGCGTGGAAAGTTCCCGCCAAAAACCTTTGAGGTGGTTAGCTGCCAAGGACCAGCAACAGGTGAAAGGGTTTTCATTTGTGACATTATTTATTTATTTATTTTTTGTCAATCTCCGCTATCTACTTTATTTCTATTCCTGCTCCTATTCTAGTCTATTTTAATGGATGACAACTCCAACTCTAACCTATTACAGGGGGTGACCAAACAACCAAATCAAAAGAAATTCGACAAGAACTGAATTATCATCATACCATATGCATCCATATGTATCTTAAAAAAGTCACATTAATCACAAAGTGATGGGAGGCAAGATTTAAATCTTTAACCTCCCACCCCACAAAAAAAGTGATAGTCAATCATTCTAAAGATAGTTGATTGATATTTTCAATAGAGTGTCAAAGTGGGTGACTTGGACAAGTCATAATTGAATAATGGATATAATTGACTCAATTCAATTATAACTATTTAAATAAATGAGTACAAATGGATATCTATTCATACCTATTAAATATATGGATATGAATGTACTCAATTATCCATTTATGAGGCACATAAAATTCTACTTCCTTCCCTATTTTTTGCATTTTTTTTTATAAAAAAAACAGTATTTTATTGTTATTAGATTAGTAAGAAATTCAAATTTATTTACTTAACGCTTACTACAAGTCGAGTTTAAATGTATAATTATTTTTAAATAGATATAAATTGATAAATCAAATCAACCACTGTTCATCAATTATATGAGTCTAATTGAGTATCCATTTAAATCCATTCAAAATCAATGGATGAATTATTGGTATGCGAGTTTGAATGAATCAACATAATTGAATTGTGATTGATACCTTTACTTTTTTTTGTCCCAGAGATTAATAAGCAGTTTTCACCCAACAACAGTAAGAGACAAATTGAACTCTGACGAAATTAGAAGGTGAAAAGCAACATCTATTGGAGAAGGGTCAGACACTAGTTGGAATGGAGGGTGTCTTCTTCTCTCCTTCGTAATAACACAAGGTATGAGAGTCCATTCACGACCAAGAAACAATCCACAATATCAAAAAGCAAACAAAATGTTACTTGTACAAGCAAACACCGTTCAAAAATATATATAGAAAAAAAAGTTCAAAAATATAATAGTGGGTACCAGCATCATGATTCAAGCACTCAAAAGAAAATATGTATAAATTTCACTTCATCATGGACGCAATGATTACTGGAAAGAAGTCAACTCACAATGAGAACTCAGATCCCTCATCTTATCACTGGAGTGAAAATGGCATAGGATCCAAAGCGCCTTTAACAAAGATTCCATGTTTTCAAGTTCCTAATGATTGCCAAACATATGAAGTTGGAAGTCTTCTCCTCTTACTTGAAATGAGCCCCCACTTCTAACCCCGACTTCAGAAACCATTTCGCCTTCAAAGTGGCCGTGCTTAATATGAAGATACCCCAGTTCCTCTATCGTCTTCTCTGTTATGGCTTCTACTTTACCACATTTCAACACCATTTCACTTTCACCTCCAAGGTTCAAGCTGCAAAATCAGGTATGCAACTGGTCCCCATTACCCCCAGCCCAAACTCTTCCCTTTTTTCCTACAGATTCTCTTGCGTGAACATTCTGTTGAGTCTTATTTATATCAATAAGGAGCAAGTTTAAGGAGTATATATACATGCACATATCTTGTCTTAAGAAGTTTACTTTCTGAATCACTTCCACAGCTGATCTCAAGATCAGCCCTGCAGAATTCAACTCAAGATCTAAAATGGGGCACACTGCAAGTAATTTCGTACGTGAAGTACTCCTGCCTACTCTCTTTTGATATCTTTTTACCACCATTTTACTTAACAAAATGGTCGTGTGGCTCATTATATACCTAAAGGATGAATAATTCATGCAGGCAAATGAGAAGAAAACACGTAAAGCACCATCTGGACCAAACCCAAGTGGAAACCATCTCCCACCATCAAGGCCATAAAGCGATCATTGTACTTATTCACTGTGGGAACACTATTTCTCGAAGTTGCAGGAGGTTAGATGTATCTTTGTAACTCAGATGAACTTTATGCTTAGGATTATTGCTTTGTAGAAAAGCGGGTAATCTTTGACATTCAAATCATGTTTGCTACATTAGATAAATAGCAGTCAGTTCTAAGGATAGTGATATCAAAGCAAAGCAAGAATTAGAACCATAAGTAAAGCATCAGATTAGTGAAGAAATCCAGAAGATCACCACAAGACCATGCTTTTGCATCTCAACCTGGAAACACATGCTTGGAAACAAAGTCTACTCAAGGATGGAAATTAACAACCCGTTCAATAAAAGCCAAATTTGTGTTATTCCCTGTGGTTTGCCAAATAGACATAATCTTCTTTCAAAAAGTACGATTATGTGGGCAGAAATGTTCCACTTCTTTAACTTAATATTTAGATGCCAAAGGGTAGCCAAAAAATGTTCTAGATTTACGAGAAACAACTTTGCAAGATTCACTGTGTCTCGCGATAAAAGTGGTCTTTGAAGCTTTCAAGTACCAAATACATACAATTCGCCGCTAAACTACTAAGTGCTCTTCACTCTGATATTGAATGTCATAGGATTTCGTTAAAATCTGAAAGTTTGTAACTATACATAAGGTCTAATAAACAGAAAAAGCAGCCTTATTGTCATTAATATGTGGTTTGTTCGAGCTATCAAATGATTGACTAATTGGTACAGCTAGCACAATTCCAAAAAAATGACCAGCATGAAAAATGGCAACTATACACTGACTAAAGTACATAGTTTCAGAGATACACCGTTAACTCACAACTAACAAAATTTAGCATAAGATTGTCATACGCCGCTTCCTCTCTTGACGCTTACTCCTCCTCGGTCTACTGTATTCTGGAACTGTTTACCAGCACTTGAAGCAACAGCCTCTTCCAGAACTCATTATCCTGTCAGCAACATTTAAGCAGATATGATACTCCAATGCAAGAGACTTGTAAAAGAAAGATTTTAGATTTATTTCCCTAAAAAGTAGTATTAGCTCCAATTTGGTCCTAAGAAATTGTTTATTCCCTGATTTAAGGTGAATTCGTCAAGCTCAAAGAGCTTATGCTTTTACATCAATTTCCATATCGTTTTCCAGGATAGCCATCTCCCGAGCTAACAGAAAAATGATGGATATTGTGTGCTTACTAGTAGATTTTAATCTAAGTGTGTTACTCGGGACGCAGAAAAGAAATCCTCATTTTGGGCAGCCATGGTATAATTAATCTTCACAAACAAAACATTCTTTAATGTTTTTCAGAATTCTCTCAAAGTTCCGAAGCATATGGTGATATCACATGAAAGTACGCATCTAAGCTCCAGGTCTTGTCAATGACTAAATTTAGTCAGAAGTCCATTTGTTGTTAATTAAGTCACTTTTAACAGTGATCCCACTCTACTTCTGCTGCCCCACAAAACCATAAGCATGTCGCATTCATCACTTCATCTCAGTTTTGACTCATAAGAAGAAGGAAACTAGATTTCCATGTCCCATCTTTGACTATTATAAACTTGATAAAGACAAAGACAGCAGTCAATGCGCAAGTCAAAGTTGTAGCTAAGTTCACTTGTTACATGCAAATGTCAGGTTATTCAAAATTCCTATAATCTATGAAACTTAACTGGCCGGCCTGATGAAAAAAGAAGAAAATGACATGAATTCCGTTAATGAATCATTGAGACAGAGAAATGTGGACATAACTACAATGTTACTAGATGATTAATATATAACCTCAATATGCTTCATCAAATAAAATAAGTCCTTAATTATAAAACATTGAACATAGAAAGCGATGAGTAGATAGAGGCCAATGCACAACAAAGAGGTTGAGGATTTAGTTCTGACTCCTCAATCCTAGTTGACCAGTAAATAAAACAATTCATTGTCAACGTTTTCAGGAATCCCATGTAAACTTTAGCTCATTAGGTTGACCATTACAAGCTGAATTTTACCTTGGACTTGGCCTCTTCATCTGGCTCGCCTCCAGAATCAGAGACAGACACTGATGTCTCAACTTCTACTGTAGATACAGCCTTGCTCAATTTTTTCTTCTTCTCTTCCTCTTTCAATTGCCTAAATCTGAAAATTTTCCCAATTTCACCATTAAGGTACTACCAGAAGCGTTTCAAAGAAAAAAGATCAACTCTAAAATATAAGACACAAACCTTTCACCAGTTTGCTCAGGCGGGGAAGCAGACCGTTTTGCACGTCCAGCAGTGATTATGCCACTTGCATTCTCACTTACAACAGGCTTTGCACCACCTAATTTCCGCAACCATACCTGCTGTGCTGTGCTCAGCACATTATTTATGAACCTATTCATCCAACAAGAGGATCACATTTAGCCAACCCGTTAAGGACTGATTTTAAGGTTCGTATGTCGAGGGCAAATATAACAAGAGTTAGTAGTAAGCATGCTCAAACTTTATATGAAAAAATGTCTGATGAAGATGCTTGTGACAACAAAGAACTCTTAGCAGAAAGGTATATTCAACTGAAGTTCCAGCAGCAAAATGAACAAAAAGGTTTCATGAATGAAAGCAATATGTATGATATACTGATCCCAGTCATCAGAAAAAAAGCATCAAACAGCCCAGCATAAAGCAGCATAGCCTAGCTGAAAAAGATCAACAAGAAAGTGGTATACAAACTCATAGTTGAGTTGCCTATAAATGCATAATGAGATTACAAAATAAAAAATAATCATGTAGAGACTTCACTTTACAGTTCTAGTCCAAGGTTCAGTGGCTGGATGCATCACCAACATTAGTCAGACAATGCAAGCATATATTTAGACCAGGGAATACTAACTAATCCCACAACCCAAAAAGAGATAACTAGAACTTTCTCATTCTCAAAACGAAAAGATAATTGTTCGCTTGAACTGTGTGACCATTGTCAACTTAGAAATTCTTGATCCAGTGTATCCAAGCAGCTTGCACTGATACTGATGCTATAAAGAGAAATGTGCAAGGGACATATACACATGGTTGCGTGAACTGCTTGGCGATTCTTACCAGTAAATGGTTAATCCAGATGGAACAGACAAGGAAAAGTAACCAATCATCAATGGAAGAAACTTGAAAACAAGAAGAGTGTTCTTTTGTGCCGGATCATCTGTCTACCAAAATAACAAAAACAAAATTAGGAAAGGGAAGATTGCTGAAGGAAAGCAAATTATCAAAGATGAATTTAGTTCTCTTACTTGCGGAGGCTTCATGATTTCCATCGATACATATTGAGAAACAATTAGGAGGATAGGCAGAACAAGGTATGCTGCAGTATCATGCCAACCAAGTGGAGGATGCCCATCCTGCAACCACATGGAACCAATTAAGTATGACCCTTGCTACTTGACACAAACATAAACTAGCTTTTCAAATGATGGCTCTTTAAGAGTGTATCATACACTTGATAGTCAAAAATCACCATATGAAAAACAAATGCAATAAAAAAAATAAGGATCAAGTATTACTTCACCAGAAGAACATAAAAGGATTGCAAAGAATTAATTACCACAAATGGAAAGAGCCAAGAAATTCCAGAACCATTCTGCCGTGCAGCAATTGTAGTTGGGCCTCCCAAAGAAGGGATCCAAAAGAAACCCTCTGTCAATAGTCCCTATAATTCATAATTTTGCACAATAATTCTGCAGTCACTACTTTTGCACACATAAAATTTATCCGCATTAAAATCACTTTGAAAAAATGACTTTATTCTCAAATACCTCATTTGCCACATTAGAAAGAGCTTGATATAAACCTATCCAGACTGGTATTGTGGCTAGAGTCGGGAAACATCCTGTTAACCATTCAAAGCACTGGTGTAGTTAGCATGACAATCCCAACACCTTAATAAATAATATCAAAATGGAGATAACAGATCACATGAACCTAGAACTAGATTAGCTGATTTTTTAGGAGAAGAAATTTGAGGAACAAGCTCAAGGAAGCTTTCAAGCAATTCAGCAGTAACAACAATTAAACTAGGATTGAAGCTGATGCCATAATAAGCAATGGCATTGAAATAAATTAATGCCCAAGAACAACCACAACAGCTTTGAGTATCTTGAGATGCCAATTTTGTATAGTTGCCTCAGTTTCCTTGAGAATGCAATAGAGGGTCAAGCCACAAATTAAGCATCCTAAGTAAAGGTGCAAGTCTATAATCAATCAGAATAGTAGCTTCTCGCAGTTACAACATTCGTAATAAGACTAAGTAAAGGCAAAAAAAAAAAAATTAACAAGTCCATGCTTTTATCGCAAAAGATAAGTAACTAAAATGCTTAACCCAAATTTACCTGCAAGAGGATTAACTCCTGCCTGCCGATAGAGACGTGCTGTCTCAAGTTGTATTCTTTCCTGTGATAGGATAAAATAGAGTTACTGCTAGTTTCAGTTTCACCTTAGAAGAAATTTACAATTAACTGACCAATAAGACCATGATTTCAGTGTCAAGAATTGTGGATCACTCTATAATAAGAATAGAATTATAAAGGTAACTGACCTGGTTTCCTGCATATCTTTGTTGGATTGCTTTGATCTTTGGTTGAAGATTTTGCATTGCCAAGGTGGATTCAACCTTCCAAAACATTATTCTTTATCAAATTAGAATGTTCTGATGAACATGGAATTCCATGACATTAGGGGAAAGAGGATGCAATAGTCTAGGACACAAATGCAAAATTGGCGTGGCAATCTTTTAGTTCAATAAATTCTTCCAATCAGCCCAAAAGTGAATGTCTTCTTGATTTGATGGCAGTGGCACCAAACCTCACCTGTCGTCTGGTCAAAGGGAAGGTGGCAGCTTTTACAATGACAGTTAGCAAAATAATGGCAAATCCATAGGCATATGGCACATGCACAGCTGAAAGCCCATCCTTTAGTATCTGAACGGAATAAATCAGGAAAATGGATTTAGCTTTCATTTAACTCGAGGTAAAGGAAGCACAATACTCTCTCTAAACTAGTTTCCTTCCTTAAACATTCGACAAAACAAGAAATAATGTGATAGTTTTCACTTATAGGTCCAATGAAATGAGAAGTCCTTGTAGAGCAGATATGAATAAACCTCTGCAAATCAAAACCTTTTCATGAAAGTTCGATTGAGCCTCACTTAAAAGAAAGTAATTTGCATACTTATTTCAACTTTATTTGTGTCCTTTTGCACACTCATCAATAACCTCAAATTGATCTTTACTTTGTACTACAGCTCAATACTTAATACCATACTTAATATTCACAGCAACACGCAAACTATCCATCAAAGCCCAATCAATCTGCAGCAATCGCAAACAGATTACGGCAATCACATGACATATTCATCAATCAAACCGAGGTTGACAGGTTTTTTTTTTTCTCAAGGACCCAGCTATATCAGTAATAAATAAATAAATAAATGAATAACTAAATAAAAGTTCGGCAGAAATCACTGCTTAACGGATAATCGGGACTAGTAAAAAGAGCATAACCTTCAAGACAAATTCCATGGTTTCGGAAATGAAGCCGAACCAGCCTCCGCTTTTCTGAGCAACAGCGGTAGTGGAGTCGGAGGCAGCGCCACCAGTAGCCGGGTCGACAGCCACAGCTGCATCAGCTAAAGTGTAGAGCAAGCTCTCGGCCCGGCTAACAATTGCGCCGAAATCTATTGAGTTGTGAATTGGAGGAGGAAGCTCGTGCAGGCTGAATTTGACTCTAGTGGTAC